ATAAAAAAGTATGAAAGAAAATGAAGAATATAAAAATATGTAAAAGAAAAATAAAAAGTAAGATGAAAATAAGAATAGATTAAGATAAAGTAGATAAACATTAAGATAAAAATAAAAATAAGATAAGGAGATAAAGAGTGGGATGAAAACAAAAATAAGATAAAAAGATAAACAGTATGATGAACGTAAGACTAATATAAAAAAGATAAACAGGATAAAGATAAAGATAAAAGATAAACATATAAAGATAAAGAACTAAACAGAAAGATAAAGATAGAAATAAGACAGAAAGAGAAATAATAAAATAAATATAAAATAAGATAAAATTGGAAGGGAGGGAGTGCGGAGGAGGGGAAGGAGTAAAGAGGAAGGGAGGGAGTGTGGAGGAAGGGGAAGAGGGATGGCAGGGAGGAAGTAGGAAGGAAGGGAGGAGGGATGGCAGGGAGGAAGAGAGGGAGTATGGACGAAGTGAGGGAGTAGAGAGGAAGGGAGGGAGTAGGGAGGAAGGGGGAGAGGGGTGACAGATAGAGAATGCGGAGGAAGGGAGGGAATAGGGAGGAAGGAAAAGAGGGATGGCAGGGAGGGAATAGGGAGGAAGGGAAAGAGTAAGGAAGAGAGGAAGGAGTGGATAGGAAGGGAGGGAAGGAAGATAGGGAGACAGTGGGAGATAGAGGAAGTAGGGAGGAATGGGAGAGAGTAGATAGTGAGAGAATGGGGAGGAGTGGAGACAGAGGCAAGGAATGGGAGAGAGAGAAGGCAGGGAGAGCGTAGGGAGGAAGAGAGGAAATGGAAGGCCAGTAAGAGAGTAGGAAGACAGGGTAAGCGTGGGAAGAAAGAGAGGGAATGGGAGGAAAGAGTGTGGGAGAGAGAATAAAGAAAGGGAAGAAAGGGGAGGCGTGATACAAAGGGAGATCATAAGAAGAAAGCGAAGCAGTAAGAAGTAAAAGAGAGAGAAGGAAGACAAGGAGGAGTGAGAAGGAAAGAAGTTGGGTAAAAGCGAAAATGGAAGAGAGAATAAAGTAAAGGTGAAGAGAAAGATATAAAAGCGGGTAGGAGGAGAGAGAAGGAAAAGAAAGAGAGTGAGTAGAAAAAAATGAGATAATGAGGAGAAAGGAGATAATGCGAAGAAAGGGAGAGAATAAGAAGAGACAATATAAACAAATCCTCCTTTGACTAGCATTTCAGATAATTTCTCAGGAAAACCTCCCGGGAAATTCGAGGTAGCGTTCAATATTGCATTTTCTCTCAACTGTAATACCTTATTGTCACAGAAATATCTTTATAAGGACTATTTCATACGACGTGGTTATATCATCACATCCACCACTCTATATCAACGACTGCGGATACAACACACCCTGCGCAGTGCTTCACTTTACGTCATTACCACAACTGTAGCGTCATTACCANTGTGTGTGTGCGTGTGTGTGTATGTATGTGTGCGCGCGTGTGTGTGTATGTGTGTGTGTGACAGATGCAAAAAGAGGCTTAGAACCAGAAGAAAAGAAACGACAGTTATTCAGATAAATAACCAAACACAGACTTTTTTTATCGCTATGGAGGAAGGGCATGAGAGGAAGAGAAGAATAAAAAAAATGAGACATTATTAAGAGAAACGGCTTTTCTAAAGTTCCAAAAAAATCAGACTTATCGGGAATTCTCGCCATTTCCCAGACGCTTCTGCAATCCTGGAAAACTTTCGCGGAAATGCCACATTTTCTTATAAAAATTCATATCATTTTTTTTTTTCTCATTTTCTTAGAATTTTCTGGAAACTTCTAATGGAATGGAATCTTGTACGGACGGCTATTAAATCCTTTCTTCCCCATAATCGAGCCGGATTTATTTATATATTAATAGTGATGTAGAGAATAAACATAAGTAGATGTCCTTTTTGATGATTTTTTTCCCGAAATGTCATGCCCTCAGGAACCCGAGAGTCTCTTTCATCCTTCTCTCCTCGACGCCGTTGCGCCTCCCGGTCGCCCAGCCTCACTTCCCTTCCTTGCTGCTCGCCCCTTCCTCTTCCTCCCTCCTTTCTCACTGCCTCTCTTCCTGTTCTTTTTCTCTTCCTTTCTATCATATTCTTCCTGTTCTTTCTTTTCTTCCTTTCATCCCTTTCTTTCTCTCTTCTTCTCCTTCTCTTTAATCTCCTTATACTCCTTCCCTCCTTTCTCTTCTTCCTTTCTTCTTATCCTTCCTCTCCTTCTATCCTTCCGCTCACACTCTCCTCCCTCCCATCCTCTCCTCTTCTCTTCCCTCCCATCCTCTCTCCCTCTCCTCCCCTTACCCTTCCTTCCTTTTCCTCTCTCACCCTCCCATCCACTCCACTCTTTCTTCTCTTCCATTCTCTTCCTCCTCTCTCTCCCTCTTATCCTCCCCCCCCCTACTCTCTCCTTCCTCTCCTCCCTCTCACTCTGCCATCCTCTTCTTCCTCTCTTCCCTCTTCCCTCTTTTCCTCCTCTCTCTCCCTCTTATCCTCTCTCTCCCCCCTACCCTC